GCCTGCACAGCATCCTCTCTGAGCATGTCAGGAACAGCATTCCCATCCAGATTTACAGTTGAAGGAACTGGTTGAGAGAAGTGAAGTGACTTGCCAGTTCATACTGCAAGTTAGTGTTTGAGACCTCCTGGCTCTCAGTCAAGGCCCCTTCTCTTCATGGAGCTGAGGCTGGTGGTTTTGTCAAGAGGAACTTACATTACTCATCCATCCCTGACCCACCAGTCCTGTTGAGAAACACACTGTGACCTCCGAAGCAATAACTGCTCACTAGGAGGTGCTGTAAGAGCATTGCACATAATAGATACATGTCTGCTAAAAGAAGGAGGTACCAGGGGCCTGCTCCCTCCTCTCTGGAGGAAAACAAGGTGGGTGGCATTTACAGAACGCTTCCACTATGTCCAGGGACCTTCATTCATCTCCTTTCATCTTCATAATAGCCCTATGAGGTGGATGTTGCTTCTTGTTAAGTGCCAGCGAGTTGGTTCCAAGTCATAGCTAGCCTGTATAGGGTTTCCGAGGAGCAGCTGGTGAGCTTGAACTGCCGTCCTTGCAGTTCAAACCAACCTTGCAGTCCAGCGCATTAACCCGCAACGCAACACTAGGTGGATGTTAATATCTCCATTTACAGATAAGGAGACTGAGGCACAAAGATTGTGCCTAACCAAGAGCTGAGAAATCAGGAATGGCTGGTGAACAAAGGAGCCTTTGTTACTCAATGTGGTAATAAATTGTTGTACTATAAAAGAGGAAATTTAAAAAAGGTAGATTTAGACATATTTAAATAACTCTAAGGTATGCCATCTAAAGAAAAGCCACTATCGGATTGACATATTTCCTTCTAGACTTTCCAAAATTAGGATTAAAAAACCCCAAAGTTCTGCTGTTCATGGATTTACAATTTATCCTATACTACTTAGCATTATGGCTTCAACCTTCCCCAAAAGGTTGCAGATGCTACTGAACATTTTCATTGGCTCTATAAATTCCCTAGGCACATTAAGCAGTCCTCTCCAGTGGGGTGGGGGAAGTGCTGGGTCTGGAGTGTCAGCCCCGCCCTTGCCTCTCTGGGGGTCCACAGATCAATCACAGTCTCCTCCAAAGGAGTCAGGGATTAGGAGCCCTGCTGTGCAGCCCTTGCAACATCAAATGAGCAGAGACTTTGTAAACTATAAAGTGCTGCACCCCTGAGAAAATCAGGGTCCCTTCTCTTCCCACAGTGTCCTTGGAAAGTTTTGTCCTCCCCTTGGATCCTAGACTTTTTCTTAAGCAGCCGTTCCCAGACTTCAGCATCTCTGTTGTTGTATACCATCAAGTCCATGCTTCCTCGCAGTCACCCTATATAGGGTTTCCGAGAGTGACTGGAAGGTTTGAGCCACCCATCTTGTAGTTAGTAATCCAGTGCTTATCGTACAGCGCCATACCAGGGCATCTCTAAGGACCTGGAAAAGGAGTCACTCACAAAGAGGCTTTTGACACTTCCAATTTATAGTTACCTCCAAAGGAAACATCTCCTCCTAGCAGACTTGGGGTGCTGGCTCTCAGGACTTTGGCTGAGGAACCACACAGCTCAAAGACCACTGCACACCCTTGGCCTTCACTCACATCTTGGTCAAGGACTTGTTAAGCCTCTTGGAGGTTTCTTCTTTTTCTGACAGCACTCTTGACTGGCTGACAGGGTCTAAGGCTGGGTCAACCTCTGCAGCAGCTTGGGGAGGAGGAAGGAGCTGTCAGCCAGCCTGGAAAACCCCAGAAACAGCCTCTGGGTTCTGCTGTGACCTCAGGAAACCTCTGGAGTCAATGTGTATTAAAAAGCACCTCATCTGCTGCTTCACAGTAAGTCATACCAGCTGAGGTCTCTGGATGCTTAGCTGTCTTCCCAGCTGAACAAATCCAATGATGAGGTTCAGTTCCTGGCTCTGCTACCTTCTTTTATGAGTCTCCGTGTCCTCCAGTATAAAATGAGGATAATATGACGACTTCATGGAGTTAACATGAGGATCAAATGACTGAACATATTAGGGGGTTTTTAAAAGTTCATGGAAAGATGGAATGGACTTTCCCCCCCAACTTTTTGGAACTTGCTGGTATCTCCAGCACTAACAGAGTGTGAGGACTGACTGGGACTGTCTCTGTTGTTACTTCCTACCGTGCCCAGGCCTGGTGCAGAGCAGCATCCCAGGAAGGCCTCAGCTAGGGACTCCTGAATGCCTTGGGCACATTTCTAAGCAGGGTTCTGGTGAGAGGATTGTGTGTCTCAGTCTGTGTGCCTATGGCTTTACATGTCAGCTCCCACTACCATTGCCCCCAGTCCTGCAGTCCCTGGCCGTCTGATGGGAGCCGTCCTGTGTGCACACAGCTCTTGATAGTTTGCACTGCATTTTGGTGAGAATTAAAGTGACTTGGCGCTGTGGGTTAATATGCTGGACTGCAAAGTCAGTATGAACTGCAAGGTCGGTGGTTCAAGCTCACCAGCTGCTCCTTGGAAACCCTATACAGGGTCGTTACGAGTTGGAACCGACTTGACAGCATATAACAGCAACAACAACAAAATTACATATTTGAGGAGAACGGGTTAGAAATGACTGTCCTATGGACAGGGAACAAGGCCCAGGCCTAGAGAGGGGTAGCGGGAGGCCCTCTCCTGTGAGGGAAAGCTGTGTTGGGCTGCCCTTACATAAGCAGGCACTCATGAGGGGCCCCTTGGCATTTAATGTACACATTGTCTAATCACCTCTGGAAACCCAAGAGTAATCTCAGGCCCCTTTGTGGTTGTTTGTTTAAACCCCATGCAGGGTGAATAGGAGCAGATTGGCTTGGCAGGGAAGGAGGGCCCCTTGGTGTGGTAATGCACCCTGCAGTGAGGAACTCTCCCAGGGGAACAAAGGGGGCCTGGAGCAACTTAATATGTTCCCTTTGGTTTCAGACATTGGAACACTCTGTCCTGCCTCAGCTGGGATCAAGCCCAGGATGCACCTGGGCCGGATTTAATCCTCAAATTGGCTTCTGCAAAAGAAAGGGGTGGGAGATGGGGGCCCAAGACAGGGAAGAACCCTGCTTCTCCCAGCCTCTGGGCGGAGTGCAGATCAAGTGGCTACCCCTTTAAAGTTTCATGTAAGGCTAGTAATGCTATCCTGCTGCTCTCTCCAACCCCCACTCCAGTGCAGAAGGTGGGCAGGTCCCTGCCTCTCTCTCCCTCCCTGACACCTCCCATCATCCCTGAAGGCCAGTGAGAGGGATGGTTGGAAGGAAGATAGGGCAGGGGCATATGAGGCAGGTGCCTTTTCCTATCTCCCTGTGTACAGGGGAGGGATGTAACCACAGACTGTCCAGTTAGAAGTTCTCGTTGCTAACCCTCTTTCATCTTCATGCTGAAGAAGAAGAAACTCAGATGTTATCCAAGCGAGCCACAGTGGCATGAGCACAGGCCTTGGGGTAGACAGATGTAGGTGTAAGGGTTGAATGTGACATGTATGGAGTACCTGGTATATGTATGGTAGCTACTGTTAACAATTGTAAGGAAAGGGAAACGCGGGTCCAACAAGGGCAAGTGGCTTATGCCATAGCATGTGTCAGTGGAAGAGCTCCCTCCTGCACCCTGTCCTTCAGCCATAGAGAAAGAATTAGAATAGAGCAGATCTGGGCTCTAGTCCTACCCTGCTTTTTGCCACTTTGAAGTAAGACCCATTTCCCTTCTGACTCTGTTTCTTCATCTGTATAACCAGGAGTCCCTGGGTGGTTTAAACAGTTAATGACTTGGGTGCTAACTGAAAGGTTGGAGATTCAAATCCACCCAGGTGCTGTGGAAGAAAAGCCTGATGATTTACTTCTGAAAACTCAGCCTTCGTAACCCCTGTGGGGCACAGTTCTATTCTGACATATATCCAGTTGCCGTGAGTTGGAATCAACTCAATGGCAATTGTGTTTTGTTGTGTCTGTTGTTTTATAACGGGAGAACCAGCCCAACTCCCTGCTCTATGTTAAAGGAAAGGCCAAGGAGGCGCAATTGCTGTATCATCTGAGGGGCAGGGCAATGGAGAAAGGACCTTTGTCTCCAAAGCTCATCTGGGAGTCTAGACACAGAAGACCAAACTGGAGGGGAGGGTCCTTCCTCTGGTGGGCAGACCAGGTGAGGAGGCTCAGGTCTATGGGCCTACCGTTCCATCTGCAGAGGCAAGGAGAGAAATCATTGCCTCTCCACCTTGCAGACCATGACAGGGGGTCATGCTCCCCCTAGCTATACCATATCTGACAGGAGGCATCTCATTCCACGTCCATTTGACTTTGTGGCTATGCATAAGTTTCTTAACCTCTCTTGAGTTTCAGGTGCCTCTGTAAAATGGAGATGGAAAGTCCTGCCATGCAGATCAGTTATGAGACAGTGCCTGGAGCCAGCTAGCCCAGTACCCAGCTCAGGGTCCATGTGAGCAGAATATGTTGACCCATCCTCTGAAATTTCTGGCTGAGTCTGCCTCCCCCTAAGCTATGAGCCACTCCCTGGTGGGGTCTGGGTTCATATGAGCCCCAAAGCCTAGAATATCAGAGGTGGGGGCTACAACCCTAGAAACCTCTAGTCTGGTGGGTTTCAAACTGAATTCCTAACACCTTATGCAGGAATGATAAGCAAGCAAGGGGACTCCAGGCCCCCACCCTCAGTTGTGCTAGAGCAAGCCTGTTTTCTTTCATCTTATGGTCTTTAAGAAGGGGTTCTGCTGCTTCCATTTTAAACCCATCCATCTGGTGTAACCCTCCTACCATGCAGCTGAGGAGGTGGTGGCCAGAGAGGAACAGGGACAGGGAATGGAATGAGGAGTATTCAGAACAAGCATTCCAGGATGAAGGGAGCTAGTGAGATGTGTCCTCCTCTCCCCGGAGGTCTGGTGGCAGCTTTCTGCTGTATCTAGAGATGTTGGCTCATGAATTATGGGATGGGGTTAGACCCATCTGGTATGAGATTCCTGCTGCCATCCCTCACCTGTTGCTGTCATCTTCTAGCCTCCATCATGCCGTGGCCCCTGCTGCTGGTGCTGGCCATGACCAGGGCCCAGACGACCCGGCCCTGCTTCCCTGGGTGCCAGTGTGAGGTGGAGACCTTTGGCCTCTTCGACAGCTTCAGCCTGACACAAGTGGATTGCAGTGGCCTCGGCCCGCATATTGTGCCTGTGCCCATCCCGCTGGACACAGCCCACCTAGACCTGTCCTCTAACCGGCTGGAGATGGTGAATGAGTCGGTGCTGGCAGGGCCAGGCTATACCACACTGGCGGGGTTGGATCTCAGCCACAACCTGTTGAACAGCATCTCCCCCACTACTTTCTCCCGCCTTCGCTACCTGGAGTCACTCGACCTCAGCCACAATGGCCTGGCAGCCCTGCCTGCCGAGAGCTTTGCCAACTCACCCCTGAGTGACGTGAACCTTAGCCACAACCGGCTCCGTGAGGTCTCCGTGTCTGCCTTCACGACCCACAGCCACGGCAGGGGACTGCACGTGGATCTCTCCCACAACCTCATTCACCGCCTCATGCCCTGCCCTCCACGGTCCAGCCTGCCCACGCCTGCCATCCAGAGCCTGAACTTGGCCTGGAACCGGCTCCGTGCTGTGCCCAACCTCCGAGACTTGCCCCTGAGCTACCTCAGCCTGGACGGGAACCCACTGGCCACCATCGGCCCAGGTGCATTCACGGGCCTGCCAGACCTTAGTCACCTGTCACTGGGCAGCCTGCAGGGTAACCCCCAGCTGGCACCTTATGGGTTCCGTGAGCTGCCAGGCCTGCAGGTCCTGGACTTATCTGGCAACCCCAAGCTCAAGTGGGCCGGAGCTGAGGTGTTCTCAGGCCTGGACTCCCTGCAGGAACTGGATCTGTCAGGCACAGGCCTGGTGCCCCTGCCCGAGATACTCCTGCACCACCTCCCAGCACTGCAGCGCCTCAGCGTGGGCCAAGATGTGCAGTGCCGGCGCCTGGTGCGGGAGGGCACCTACCCCCGGCAGCCTGGCTCCAGCCCCAAGGTGGCCCTGCACTGCAAAGATTCCCGGGAATCTACAGCCAGGGGTCCCAACACTTTGTGACAAAAGATGTGGCCTGGGGCCACATAACAGACTGCTATCCTGAGCTTGCTTGGGTCCTGGGTAATTTATGTTTTCATGTGCCAATGCCAGTGGGGACTCTGCAGTGGATATGGCAACGTCACTGCAGGAGCTGGGGATCACGGGAGAGGAGTTCGTCCTGGGCCAACACCCAGGAGCAAAGTCTTGCCCCTTTGTCTCTGCTGCCCTCTCTTCCTCCTAGTCCCCACCCCCCAGCCCCCCAAATATGAGCAAAGGGACTTCAATGCCAAACCAGCCTCTGGTCCCTTCCTGCTGCCCTTCCCCAATTGTCCCCAAAGTGCCTTCTCTTAGACTTGGGCTATTCTGACTGTAACAGGAGAGCAAAAGGGAACCTCTGCTGCATGGCAGGTTCATTTGCACTGGCTGAGCACCCTGGGGGCCACGGTCCAGTCACCCAGAGGCATGGGTTTCGGTTCCAACATAGCCTCCTTCATCACCCTGGCATGGGCCCATCCTTTTCTCTTTCCCTGGAACCCTGAATAGAACCTTAGTTACAGAAGGGACTGTAACTGATAGCTAACGTGATAGCTGGGGAAACTGAGGCCTAGAGAAGGAAAACCCTATAATCAGAGGTCATGTGAGGCTAGAGCCATTGCTGGAACCTAGCCTCCTGCCTCCCAGCCAGGGCCCTTTGCACTTTCTTACATTCTCTTCCCAGGGGTCCCCTTCCTGGGCTTCCTCTTGATGCCAAGAGCTACATCCTGATGTTTCTTCTGCCCTTCCATGGCATCCTCACACGTGGTGGCCCACTGACCAGCTCTCTGCTCTGGACTGAGTCAGTTCACCCCAGGAGTTCCTGGAAGCTTGGGGCATGCCTGTCTTTTCCTCACTCTGGAGTGGGGTCCTCCAGCATTGAGACTAGAAAAGTACCCCCTGCTTTTATATGCTCTAGTAAGAAACAGATGCAGTCCTGGAACCCCATCTAGCTCTGAGGGGTCACCTGGCTTCAGCTCCCAGAACCCAACAGCCCCATCAGCCTGTTGAGGCAGTGGAAGGAGACAGGGTATCCACCACTCATCTGTGTACTCCATCCCTGGGGTCGGGTGGCATCTCAGCTTCCCAGCCCTGGGCTCTTTCCTTTGTCTTCATTTTATAAAAGTTGTTGCCTTTTTAATGGACTAGACCGTTCAACCACCCCAACCACCCTCTGCTGGCAGGGGAGAGAAACAACATACCATTTGTAAAAGAAGAAAATGTTGCATTTGTTCACTTTTGTACTATTTGTGTCCTGGGGTGTGTTGGGGGAGCCAGCCATGTGGGCATCAGGGGCTGGTCCCACAGAGGTTCCTACAGGGCAGGGGCAGTGAGGGATTTAGCCTTGCCCATCAGCCTTCTCAGCATCATGATTGGTCCTTGGTTTAATAAACACTGTAATGAACCCCACATTCTGTCATTCTAAAACTGTTCATTGACAATCCCTAGGTCACAAAGATGAATCAGGTCAGGTGCTATCCTGAAATATCCAACAACCTCCCAAGAGTTTGCAGAATGAGGTGGCATGAAGGAGGGAGTTCCTTGGGGTGGACTGGACCTTCTGCTGCAGCCTGCACCCTACCCTCTGGTCTCATCTCCCCTCTCCCTGCCATCTCAGTTCCACCCACCCCAGCTAGAGCCATGGACTTGCCAGACCCTTGCACATCTCTGACTTTGTTCTCAGGATGTTACTTGGTAGAACACTTTGCCCAGTCCCTGCCTTTCAAACTCCACCTTATCCTAATAGACCCAGTACCTACCTCTGCTCAGAAACTTTCCCTGTGACGCCTTCTAGTTTCCTCTGTGTTCCAACAGTACTTTGCTCATCCCTCCATCTTGGCATTTGGACTGCCATAGAACCTTACCTGCTTGCTCACTTCCAATGACAGGAGCTCATCTGAGTAGCTCTGCTGCCAGCACACTATAACCATGCCCATAACAGACCTTTGACTATACCTCCTGTATGCAGGGCCCTGCACTGGGCAAGGAAGTGAATCCGCTCCAGTGTCTGCCCCAAAGGGACACAAGCTCCTAGGCTGGGATGGAGAGACCAACACCAGGACACCTAACCAAGCAGCAGAGGGTGCTTTGACAGCCCTGCGGAGGAATTGGGAGGCTTCTTGGAGGTTGCTCATCTGCACAGCTGAGAGTAGGTGGACCTGAAAAGGGGGCGGATGCTTGGGAGGACTCACCAGTGAGTAAAGGTACCCCGGAACATTCAGGCCAGGAGCACTGGTAAGGAGCTTGTCCACCTCGTCACTTAGGTCTCTAGGGAGGGGAGCCCCTGTGCCTAGGCTGGAGATGGGGAAGCTAGCACCTGCTGGTCAATGTGGGGAGAGGCTAAGATATTTGGGGGCAGTGTCAGGATTAGGCCTGTCCTCAAGGTTCTTGTTCTTCACCCTTTTCACATTCCCTGGTACCAGAGAGACTTCGAATGTGTGGAAGGAAGTCAGGAAATGGTCCTGGAGACTTTGACCCAACGGGGCTGGGTCTTCCCAAAGCCCTGGTTGAACAGAGTTGTTGGGGAAGGGCCAGGGAACATCAAAGTCTTGGAGATAAGGATAGAGTGATACAGAAGGCTCTGCAGAAGAGGAAGCAGGGGCTTCTTGCAGGTGACTAAGTGAGCTCTGGGCCAGGTCACGTTTCAGGACAAGCTGCATCCACAAAATGGGGTGGTGGTGGTTCTCTAGTGGGGGGATAGATGCAGGTGCCACCCCACAAAGCAGGTTCATCTTTCATGGTGAAGACCTGACTCCTCACTCCCAGCCTTGACTTCCTGAGTAACTTAGGAAGAATGGAAGCCCAGCATAGTAACAGGCCCTGCTAAACAAGGTGTCCCCACAATCCCTCTGGCCCCTCTAGTCTGAAGTGCCATCTCGTGCTCGCATTGGTCTCATACCCCAGGTCCCAGAGGCACTCAGAGCAAGACCTGGGACTGCTGGAGTTCAAGTGGACCTGTACAGTTTTGAAAAGTCATTCCCTCCTTTCCTATGCCACACCACCTTCATCCAGCCATGCTCTGCTCTCCTGGAATTCTGGAACCTAGAATGAGAGCATAAGGATCTTACTGAGTCACAATTATTAGTGCAGTGGTTCCAAATATTAGTGCAATGGAGTTTGCATTAACGAGTTGGTCAAGTAACTTTACTTCTCTGAACCTCTGTTTCCCTACCTGGAAAATGGGATACTCTCCCTCCACAGGATTGTATGAAGAGCAAATGAGATAACATTTGTAAAGAAGCAGGTAGTCCAAGAATCATTTTTGACAACTAACACAAAACTGAAAGTTTATAGAATTGCAGAGCAATACTCTTTGAACTGCAAGATCTTTGTCCTTGTGTACCTGGCATGGGCTAAGGACTAAGGTAGCGTAGTGGTTATGAATTGGTCTGCTAACCTCACAGTCAGCAGTTCAAAACTACCAGGTGTTCCATGGGAGAAAGATGAGGCTTTCTGCTCCCATAAAGATTTACAGCCTCAGAAACCCTGCACAGGGTCGCTATGAGTCGGAACCAATTCCACAGCACATAACAACAACACCTGACATGGACTAGGGCATTCAATGCATGCATGGAATTTTAGAGATGGGAATACAACTAAGGCACAGTTTGCCATCGTGCGCAGGCAAAGCCACAAATGTTCCCTTGCATTTCCATAAGCATAGAGCCGCCATTGACCGTATGAATGTTCCTGCCACTTTGTGCACACGCTGTCATTTCTTCCTTACAACAACTGCACAGGATCATATTGTCACTGAGCAGATACAGAAACCAGCCTGGGCCTCGCATCATCTGTCAGATGGTAATTCCCTATTCCTGACTGTCTTGCTTTCAGGGACTGGTTACTCTGAGAAGCCAGAAAGTACTGGGATTCCATTGATTTTTTTTTTTTCCTGTTAGAAATAAATTGAAAAGTCACGGAGCTCTAAATCTCCCCAATAAGACCATTGATTCTAGAATCTAGAGCATAAAAAGGCAAACATCAATGTCAAAGTCCTTCCCTTCTTGACTCCATTTCACAGATGGAGAGACCTGGGTCCAGAGAAGAGCAGCCCACAGTGCCATGACAGGTGTACAACTATTGTGCTTCAGAACTGGCTGCCTAATTTTTAAAATATGAGACCCCTGGTTCAAAACTCATGAAGAATTTCAAGATGGTACAGCAGAGCATTTAACCAAGCTGCAGGTCCTTTAAGCACGCACCCTGACACTGCACAGGTGGTACATCCATGAAGCCAGCCCTATGTACCTTTATCATCCCATGTAAAGGACATCCCAGGTATGGAGTCCTGGTGTGGCACTCTGGGCTAAGGCGTCAGACTGCAAAGTTGTTTGAACTGCAAGATTGGTGGTTCAAGCTCACCAGTTGCTCCTTGGAAATCTTATGGGTCGGAATCGACTTGACGGTACTTAACAATATATAGAGAAGGGAGGAAAAAATATACAGACAGGGTTGGTCAGGATGCAGAAGAGAGTCTGTAAATTGATGTGTAATCCAATCCCTCTGTACTCAGAGAACTAATTAAAGACTTTCAAATCCACATATTTCCCTCCACGGATGTCATCACACCATGACCTGATTTCCACAGACTGCCATGGCCAATGGGCTTTCAGAGAGAGGTGGTAGATGAAGATGCAGATACTACCACTCACCAACAGTTTCTCTTGACAAAACTGCCAGGGTTGTGTGGGACTGAGCTTCCATCTCTGTTCACTTTATGTACTTACAGAATTTCACCAGTGCGAAACTTTCCCATACCCACTGTCTACCAAGGACAAGGTCTATGGCAATAGAAGTTATCATCAGTTCGATAGTCTTGCCCATCAATGCTCTCTGCTCCTTATTGACTAATGTTCATCCGAAAGCTAATGTCTGACATATAATGGTTGCTAGTACCTGGCAGGTGCAAGCAGTTAACATGCTTGACTGCTAGAGGAGCCTTGGAAGAAAGATTTGTGATCTACTTCTGAAAGGTCATAGCCTTTGAA